TGTGCAAGGTTAGTTAGTGTAAGGCAGTCTCAACGATAGCGCCTGTTGGCACCGTGGAATGACAAGGTGTCTGCGTTAATAGCTGGGGTCCCGTGCCTGGGAATGACCAAGGTGTTCTGCTGCTCTGATAGGGCCTGTCTCTGACGGATGGCTTTCGTTGGCTGGTGTGAGGGGCCTCCACGGAGCTCACTGGTGTTTCTGGGAACACGTTTTCTCTACGTTTTATGTGTCTTTCTAGCATGTAATTGATTAGGAGGGTGTTGGAGATCTCCCTCCCTATAGCAGTTTTGCTCATCAGTGTCAGTCCGTGATTCTATTGCCCAAGCTCCGTGTACTGCCAGTTCAGCACGTAGGTGTTTCTGGGAACACGTTTTCTCCCTCGTAGGTATTTCATGTGTCTTTCTAGCATTCCATTGATTAGGAGGGGGTGTTGGAGATCTCCCTCCCTATAGCAGTGTTGTTGTTCATTAGTGTCAGTGATTCTATTACCTAGGCTCCATGTACTGGCGGCTTAAGCTCCGGTTCCGCTCTTGGTTAGACCTTTCCATGCTCTTAGTGAGTGCACCACAGATTTTGGTAGCGTGACTGTACCATGGAATTACATTACGTCTGCGGCGTATCGGAGGAGTTGTTGGAAAATTTGCTGGAAAACGGTTTGTAGAGAGCCGGGGGGGGGGGGGGAACTTGATTTCGTTTATTACGACTGTATAGTTACTTTCTGGGATCTAACGGGGCACCATTGAGGGCAAAATTGGCCAGCCTGTTTTGCTGGAGGCTGGGTTCATTCTTCTGCCCCATGAAGGTGCGCTGGAGTGGGGCGTGTGGCAAGCGATAGTGGGCGGGTGGGTGAGAAGTCATAATAGTGGCCGGGTATTCATTGTACAATTGTTGACAGAAGGAAAGGGGTCTGATGCAGTGCTGCGGCACATCCTAAGATAGTAATCCACGCTCTTTCATCCTCATTAACCATGACATCTGTCTGTCTGTTTACATCTGCTCCGTAGATCTGTGTTTTTCATTTCTCCTTAGGTCTGTCGCTTTTCAAAACTAGTTAGATTTTTTTTCTTCTTCTCGGAATGAGGAAAAATATGTGCGTATGTCATATGATGGTCTTGCTGTGTACATTAAAGTGAGAAGCGAAATTCTTTTGGTAATGAGGAGTCCCAGAGGCGGATGTGTAGTAGGGTGGGGGTGGAGAAAAAAAAGAAGGGTACATTTTATACTGCTGGGCGTGGTCGCAGAAAAACAAAACGCGAGTGATTGCCGGCTCTTTTTTTTTTCAATTTCTGAAGTTGTTTTTTTGAAAATTTTCAGTGGAGAAGGAAGGTGTTGCTTTCCATACACAAAATTACGCAGTTGTGATTCTTACGGCGGACGTAACTCTTTTTTTCCCTCCTTCCTTCCTTCCTTCCTTCCTTCCTTCCTTCCTTCCTTCCTTCCTTCCGTTTTGATAAGTTCTAATCATTTCCCCTTTTTTGAAGTTTATTTTTCTAGTTCGTTTTCCGGCAGTTGTGTACATAGCGCACCGGTGACTTGGACTTTGACTTTGACTTTGGGCCCTCAAGAGGAAAAGAGCAATTGAAGGAACCTCTCTTCTGGAGTGTGTCTCTTCTCTGGCTTGTTGGTCGCAACAAGAGGGTCTCTGCTCTGTTTACGTTTACGTGAGAGAAGAGCGAGTTGTTCATGTATCTTTGAGAGAGAGGGGACTAGATGCGTCAGGTGACAGTCGGATGGAGGGAGGTATATTTTAAGGAGGGGGTTGGTCAAATTTGTATCAACCTTTGGGGAAGAGGGTATATGAGATCGATGAGGGCGACGGCTTTTCTTGTTCAGGCAAAAACTGTGGGAGCTGAACATCTTTATTATAAATAAGGCTCTTTATTATAAGTAAATAAATAAATGACAGCAAATAGGCTAATCACCAGAAGGTGGTGGTAAAGATAGTGAGGAATGCAGCACCACAAGGTGGTGAAAAAAGGGGGCGCGGGACGCTTTCTTGCTCTACGATTCTTCCTAGAGAGAGAGAGAGAGAGAGAGAGAGAGAGAGAGAGAGAGAGAGAGAGATTGTGTGATTGTTAATGGCACTGGACACAAATATATGACGCTAAAAGGCCGCTGCTGATGACCTGTGTGTTTGGGGTTACTCAGCTTGTATATCGTCCGTCGTCAAGTTTTGAAGTGGTTTTCAGGTTTTTTTTTTTTTTTTTTCCTGTCTAGTGTTCGAAATGTGTCATCAGCCCGGCTACCAGCCGGGCCGCCCGGGTCCCGGGTGGCCAGCCCGTGCGAGGATCAGGTAAGGTCCCAGCAAAAAAAAAAAAAAAAAAAATCCAAAAATTCTGAAAAAAAAAAAAACTATGTTATG